GATTCATTGTCTGGTTTTGCTTTATCGTAAATAATATTTGTAACGCCATCATCGAATCTGCCTGGTCAAAATCGTCATCTTCTCCTATTAAAATAAACGAAAATATTATTTTCTATGCATAAGATAGATTTAAATGTACATAACTCGACTTAGCACTCGAATCTTCCTTCACAAAATGAATTCTTTTAATTATAAATTCAAGAGAAAAAGTTCTTATGAAGTAAATGGAAAATAATCGAAAATATGGTTGCAATCAAAGCGCTTTACCTGAGTATATTTTTATAGAAGTAACATAAGAATTTACTTGTGTGAATTGCTGAAGAATAAAAGAAAGCGATGGATACAACTGGTCAGGTCCGAGGCTCGTCGGTAGCCATTTCAAAATATTTTGATATTTACTAGAAACAAATATATATTATTCAATTTAGAAATTTTTCAAATTCCCATAAAGAATAATATTTTACTAAGGGTGACAAGAGAATTTAGATGAATTTCTAAAATCAGAGAAAAGATGTTGAAATGATATTATTGGATCATATAAACATTTCACATTGGTCCACTGATGATCAAGAAAAAACGGATGATTATTAAATGAATTTATTGTTGTTTCAATATCATCTGTTGATAATTCATATTGTGAACAAATATAAAAATTGAAATCAATTAAATTAATTATTTTATCAGGTAAACAATATTGACGGACAAAATTGGCATCAATGAAAGATTTCCATATATTGCTGGATTCTGTTTTTTGTCTCTCATAGTTCTTAAGATGAATTTCTAGTTTTTCAACATAATCCACATTATTCAATAACCATTTCAAATAAGTAAATTCTCTATTGTTATCGACCGATATGTTCAAACTAAAACATCGTAGCTTTGGTATCTAGAAAAGAAATTCCATTGTTGTATTTTCAAATTAAAAAAAATTCTTGTTTAGACATTTCATCAAAAGCAAACTCGATTTCTTTCTCTCTTACTTTATTAAACCAATTTTCATTTGATTGTTCCAATATGTCAGGATTTATTTTCCATAATGAATCAAAATCTAATGAAGACTGAAAATGAACGGACAATCGTTCAAGATTTGGTACACGTTCAATAAGATTTTCAAGCAAACATGTACATGCCATTCGAACATCTAAATGCCGCAGAGTAAAACAACGATCCATTGAGGGATCATAGTGTGATGTTAAACAGTGATGAATGTCCTGATTCAAAAAATGGTTATTAATATCAAGTTGAAGAGATTTTAGTTGACATTGACCAGAAAACAGGAGGCCAAAGAGTTGCTTCATCATACTCGTTTGTTTCTCTATTAAATGCCAAACAAAAATAAAAGAAATTTAAAAAATATTCTTTTTCTTTTGTTTAATGGAAACCAAATTTCTTCATGATTTAGATTTAACAACATAATACACTGACACTCATCATAGGTCGTTTTTTTAGAGTTATCATTCTATCAACCAATGGCGTACATATATATTCTTAGTCACGCAATGAATTCAAGAAGAAACCCTCTGGAGTCTATTGCAATCGGCCTAGGGCCTTATTAATAAATCTCGAATAGCTAAGTCTCGATAGTTGCTCGAATTATAGCAAAGCTACTGTCTCCTCTGTATATTAAGAACTTTCATTTCTCAATTCTTCAACAATGCTGAAGATAAATTCGACAACACAGCGATAAAACTTGTTTTATTTTAAAGGGTGTAATATAACAAATAATGAATTACTTTCATCAATAACCAATGGTGAATCTTTTCTTACACAATCAGGTACCATGAAATTGTCTTCGGCAAAGTTTAATATAAGTTCATCCAGTTGACGTTCAATAAGATAAACTAAACTTTCAATCAATGGTTCCTTTAATCTACATTGAGTAAGTATAAGTGATTTGAGATTGGGAAAAATAATTTCTTTATCATTAAATAACCATTGATAAACGCAATCACGAACAATTGAATTTCTTTCATCAAAATGAATACGTTGAATACAAGATGACAGACATGACGAATTCAATATCAATGGAAATAATGTTGAATACAACTTATTATAAGATGAACCTAATGTAAAAACAAGGCCAGTGTTCAGTAAATTACTATTTACTGAGAGAGTTGAGCAAAGAAGAGAATTGAAACGGATATTTAAGGACCATAAAGATGTTAATAAATCAGCCCATGACAGATGAGAAAATATATGAAGAAGAATTTCATTTGATAATGTTTCTATTGTAGTTTGCGAAGTCATTTTATCTAAAAATAAAATTATTTTGTGATTTTCTTTTTTTTCATTTTCAATCACTTTTAATCGCCAATTTAAGTAAGGTGCCGCTAAAGCAAAATTGGAGTAAATTTTGTTTCGCGTTTATTTATATATGGTTTGATAGAGCTTGAAAAGTGGGTGTGGGTGTGACTTTATAAAAAGACACCCACACCCACCCATTTAAGTTATTCTTTTTTATTTTATTTACTTAAACGCTTTATCAAGAGAAAATATAGGTTATAGTAGTCGCTACATACCCACACCCCTTTTACTATTAGTTTTCAATAAATTAAATCTAATTATGTTTGAATAAATATATATTAGAAAATAAATTTAATTAAATATCAAATAAAGCTTCGAATGTTGCTCTTATCGATTGAACTAAAGATTGTTGCTGATATCCACCTTCTAAAATAAATACCAAAGGAATTTTTAGTTCTTTTAATTTTTTTGTCATTTGAAAATATCCATTTGGTGTTAATTGAGCACATTGCTCAGCTTCGCCTTGAGCAGCATCAAAACCAGCCGAGATCAAAATTAACGAAGGTTGAAATTGAATTATATCTGGTAAAATGTTTTTATCAAACATACTTAAATATTCATCATCGCCAGCTAGTTGTTTTCTATTGAACATATCAATAAGATGACAATTTAAAGGTGCACTAGTTGAATTTGAACTTTTTCCAAAAGCAGCAAAAATATCAATAAGACGATATTTTTCTTTATCTTCATTTGAGATTTGTCCTAAAATTTGTTCAGTCCCTTCACTTCTATGTACATCCCAATCCAAAACAAGAACTCGATCTAATTTAAGAAATTGAATAGCATATACTGCACCTATTGATACAGAATTTAAACCACAAAATGCTCCAACTTTATCAGTTGATGAATGATGACCAGCTGGACGAATAAAGGCAAAACCAATATCTATATCACGTCGAACAACCGATGAAATGAGATTAATCGTCGTACCAGCTGCTGTACGACATGCACGAGCCACTATTGGGCCTACACCTTTGAAATTATATTTCGGATTAGCATATGAAAGTGTTCGCATTGATACTACATTATCGACGTTGTCTCCACGCTCAACAGACAAAAATCCTGAAAGAAATTCTTCTGAATGAACAAGTCGAATTTCATCATTATTGGCCATTCGTCCTGGAATACCTTTCCAACGTAATTGATGACTAATCCAAAAATAATTATGTAAATCATCGATTATTCTAGTCAAACGATAAGGTTGTTCAACATGCGATTCGCTCCATGTATGAATAAACATTGTATCCAATGAAAACGAATCACAAGGAGAAATACCTACACGAAATGATAATGTTTCAATCGATGAACTTGTCCATATATTTAGAATTTCAATTATTGATAAAGGTAAATGAATAGGCTCATATTCAGGTTTAATGTCTTCTACGAGTAGTTTCTCAGCACTGGATTGACAATTTTCAAATAAAATCGTAAAATCGATTGTATCTTCACTGTCCATAAGCACAAATATTCATTGTTTCTCTTAAATACGAATAAAATTTAATTTTTTTGTCTATCAATGAGTGAAATAATTGCACGTGTTCAATAGAAATATTTAAACGAACGAATCAAACACTTCTAAGAGAGGGACTCCGGGTTGGCTAATTTTTTTCTTGATTTTAATCCTACAAAATGCATACATATTTTAAAATATGTACTACGTTATATGTGTTGACTAGCGACAAATATATCTAAATAAATTGTTTGCGGGAACATTGTCTGATAGAACAAGAAAGGAAGAGACTTGGTAGTAAATAAAATACATCTCAAAGTAAAAACGATGAGTGAACTATCAATCGAAATTTAATATGTAAAATATTCTGTTTTTGATAAGTTTTAGCCATGTGAAAATTTCAGCGAAAAAGCTAGCTTAAACAGAGATGGAACCTGTCTGGATTTTTGAAGACCGATACTGGTACCGATCTGAAAGGTTGGTCGTAAAAATGTCGACAAGGAAAAATATCGATGTGGAAAATAGCAGAAGCGTTTTAAAAACATCTGACTAGCGAGTGACATGCTTTATTGTATGGGTAATACTAACATTCTAACAGCAATCGAACATAACTTAAGGTATTGAAAAGAAAAGACAACTCAAACTAAGATAAGACACACAAGAGTGCAATGTTTTTACTCATTTCACGTTCACTCGGTAAAACAGTTAGTTATTGCTGTATTTGATAACAGCGCTTTTGCGGGTGCGGGTACGCCTCTTCCTCTTAATCCGAACTCAATCAAATTCACACTCACACGCACGCTCACAGCGGAACCCATATCCATATATTCGTAGTCTCAGATACTCTCAGTTGGTTCCACCAGTAGTGAATAATTCTATTTCGATTCATTGTTGGCGGGGCTTTTAAAATAGATCATCTATTTAGAAAAATTCTTTAGTATAAGAAAAGTATTTTTATTTATATGTAATCAAGTATTCGGCGTATGCTTGAACATCGTGATACGTAACGAATATATGTCTACCATCTGTTGTCGAATCAAAGCCAGGGGGTGGGGTTTTCATGGAACTGTTGCCAGGTGTCGTCTTCCCAACAAGAACACGCGCTACGAACATGTTGCGTTCTCCATTTTCATTTAGGCGTGCATAGCCATGACTGTAAGCCGCATCTGATGAAAAATAAACACCAACCCCATATACAGTTCCTAAAAAGAACTACTATTCGATGATAGAAAACGAAGAAAACACTGTAGGTACCATTAACACCGGCAAAGCTTCGATTGAACCAAGATTTCACAATATCATCAGCCGCCTCTTTAGTAGACCCATGATACAGACGTTGTTCTGTGTCCATGCCAAGGCGTGATTTAAACTCCAAATGATGTGTTAAATATTGCATATACCATGTTTCATTTTGAATGCGTTCTATACGCACTATTTCGGTATATTTTCCTGTCATTGCTTCTTTAAACTTGGTTACGATTGAGTTATATTCCTCGGTTTCACGCAACAAAGTAAAGCGCATCTTTTTTTCTGTTGTTTTTTCCCATGTTGCAGGTAGTTGATAATTAAGTAATTTCGCAACATTTGCTAAAAAAGGATGACCAACAGGTTTATTATATTTTTGTTCTTTTATAAAAGATTTGAGCGGTTTTGGATGTCTCGATTATCATTATATCTATAGAAACATCCACTTTGCACCCTATATATAATCAGAGCATTATTAAATATATGATCTCCTTTATTATTGCCGTTATAGATAATTCATTGAAAACTGTTCAATAAATTGCTGCAAAAATGTTTTGAAGGAAACAATCTTTGCGCGATTAGCGACTAAAGCTAGATCATGTTTCCTATCATCGAGAATGAGCTAGCCGTTTGTTTTAAAAATATAGAATTTATCTTGATAATTTTTTGCTTTTTATTCATCTACATTTGTTAACGAAAAACAATTTTCCGATATCTAGCTTATGAAAAAGAATAGATTACCCTGCTGTACTTAGTGTATTATAATGTATTGCTTGAAAACAATTTAATATTTGCGAAGTCTGTGCCTACTGAAAACTGTTTTGATCTTGATGGCGATAATCTACTGATATGAATATGTACGAGTTGCTCGTAGTAGGCAGTGTCCAAAATCCCGACTCTACTGAGATAGCACTTGTATTATAGAGGGTATGAGAAAAATTAATTACAAGAGAAATTATCTTTTCCTAAAAGACTTCGAATCTTTTCTAATACTAAACTTAAATTGGAATACAAAATCTTCTTTGTACTCAATTATAACTAGGATTGACAGTATTGTAGTGGTAGTCACTACCGATAATAATGAAAATAAAACTGTACAAATATCGATAATTTTTACATACCATTCAATATACTCCTCATACGAGTTTATGAACGAACGTTTTATTCTCATAAATCTTCACAGAGTTTAGTATGCGTTGTATATTAATGTAGCTTTCAAGGTTTTAGGAAAGTGTCCTATACTTTAAAATGATTTATGAAAGAGAAATTCAGTGTCAAAGAGTTTATAAAAATCAAATGAAGGGTTTACTGAATTAATAAACTCTTTTGAAAGATACTTTATTCTAAATTCTATTTCAGTGCGGTATTTAACAAGGATAAATTGTTGTTCTATTTTTTACTATACTTTTATGAATCACCAATATTTTTCTAAGACATTTTTGCAACATTCTATTCATAAAAGACTATAGCTGCAACGAATTTGAATACAGAAATATGTCTTAGTCAATTCTATAAGCTCTGTGTTAAGCTTTGGTTAAATTTCATATCGCGCAAGCAGTTACGAAAATTAGTCGTCGAAAGTTCTCGATAAGCAAACGACGCAACAAGTAGTATTCATTATTTGCAATCGTCATTCTATAGAAGATCTGTAATTCACTTTTCTATATCATTTGATAAACAATGATAACTGTATGCGGTGTAGGGAACCTAGACAGTGTTTCGCGAAATTTTCATTATAAAAGTAAACAAGTGCATAATCAATATATTGAAACAATCAATGAAAGGTTGCTATCTCATTTCGAATGTTGTCTCTACTCCGTGTCATGTTTCTGTGCGCCAGTTTGAGACACATTACTACTTTTATAAACGTATTTCTCGCAAGCAATTAGAAAAAGAAACAATGGAATGACGATGAGCATTAGTTCAGAGAGTTCAGGCGAAAGACTACTCTGAGACTTGCGTAAGCCTGAACAAATGTGAGCTTTTTCTGAACATATGGTTTCATAGTATTCAAAGAACACTATATGAACGATTTTAATAATTGTTACGTAGATGCAGTCTTATTTTATCACGAACAGAACTGTACAAGCATTATATAGTGGCTTCTGCTTTCCACAAGACAGTTTTCACGTTCATGCATTTGGATTAATCTGAATCATGAGTTCAGAGGAACATAAATTTATCAAATATAATTGCAATATTTAAATGAAAACATACAGAGAAAAGCAATCTTTCAGCAACTTACCCCATTCTATAACGCCGTGGCTGGCAGCGAAGAGCTATAAAAAAAAGAAAAACATGCTAATTAGTCGATTCAACATTTCGTCAGCTATTGATGACTGCTGTCTTATGCTGGTGAATCTGAGAATGAAACCTTCTCAGAAACCTTCGAAAGCAAATAGAAATACGCAAAATATGCACGCTAATTAGTTTTGAGTAGGAGACATTTTAGCTTTCAAAAGTTATTTAATAATAATCGTACGATATCGAAAGGACATTCGCAGTTTCTAATGTATTTTATTCCAAATTTTCTATTGAACGATATTGGATAAAGTTTTATCATTTCGGAAAACTTTCAATAACTATTTTCCTAAAGTTCTTTTGCAACAAACATCGATAAAGCACTAGCCATATGTGTGTGCGCATCAGAAATTTGTAACGTGGGTTCCCTTGATTTTGGATACACGCACTATCTGAAATTAGTTCCATCTCTACGTAATAATCGGAGTTTGATCTCCATACATGTACGTATATTACTTTTTTCGTTTGCCACTTTTCACTCATAGTTCCCGTGCATAATATTGATTTTTTTATTGAGCAAAAACTCACTGCAAAGCTTATAGAATTCGACTGAAAAAGATACTTATTTCTGTGAAAGATGAATTTAAGGATATCTGAATTTTGAAATTCGAATTCGAATCTAATTCAAGCATGTAATGAATTTATGGTCGAAAAGTTATTAAGACTTCAGATGTGAACATGATTAGTCGTAGGAAGGCACAGCATTTACGATTCATCTTCGAATCAATAGCATTTTCAAAGATAAAATTTTCTTCGCGGTGACACTGAATTATAGTCTAATCATAATTGAGTCTTACCAGAAAACGTGTAAAAAGATTGAACACATAAATGATCCACTGATAAATGCCACTTGTTTCTTCAGAGATCATCAGCCAAATAAGAAACAGACATTTGCCTAACCAATAGCATGGTATTGAAAATGCAAAAATATCTCTGTAATATTCAATCAAGCCGAGTGACACATAAGTAGTCCAATATATGCGCCATTTTTTCTTTCCGTATTTTTCTGGAAATTCTATCGCCAGTAGTCTAAACAGAGCAAACATTCAAATTCAAACTTCAAAAAAAGATTGTTACAATAAATACAAAAAAACAATGGTCTTTGTTAAGCGAAAAATTGTATGAAATATCATTTGATTCCAGCGACCAGTGTACTGAAATAATTGCGTTGGTACTCTCGCAGACTTTGTTTTTAACAAAATAAAAGCTTCGTCCTTTCTTATCAGACTATATCGCTCAGTTTCATTTTCAATGCTGAAACAGTTTATATGGTGTAGAAGTTTCAGTGTCCAAATGGTAAATCAATAGCATTTTTTAGAAGATCGTAAGAAGTACAAACTAATAGTCAAAAGTCATGGCTACGATAAGTGACAGTCATTAATTGAAAATTCAGAAAACACTTGAACTTACGAAGCATATACAGGATACAGAAATCCAATGAGATTACAAATAAAATCACTATTCCAACCGTATGCCAAATAGATTGTAAGAAAACCAAGAAGCCCTCAACAAACAAAATAATAAAGAAAGTGAAAATGCAAAGGCAATCGAATACGTAGAACGGTTTGTTCACGTTTTAGATTTGTCTTCTGTTCGAACAAGCTCCACAACTTGTTCCCTTGACCGTTGTACAAATATAATTTCAGTGTATTTTTGAATGGGAAAATAGTGCTATCCGCTTTCGTTGTTGTTTCTTCAGGATTGTCTGGAGACGCTAAAATTTCAGAAATCATTTGCACAAACACAAAAGTAAAAGAAAGTTCATCAGTATAATTATCTCGAACTGAAGCATGAAACTTAGCTATGCTCTATGAATTTATTGGTTTCATGTAAAGAAAAACGATTGTTTAATATTTGTTACATATTATAGTGTGGTGTCAAATGATGAAAGTCTACCCATATCATTGTCGTTTCACAATAATAAACATTTCATTGGATTGTCTTAATGACAATAGAAGCAGAATGAATACAATTACATGATAATGCAATCTGCGCAAAATGCTTTAGTTCATTATTTATGTAAACGCATTAGAATTAATTGTCAAAACAATTCATTGCAAAATATTAAAATGAAATAGAAACAAGAAAAACAATGAATTGAAAAAGTGCTATTCCACACGTTTTGTAAAATAATAGAATGCAGCCGAATAAAAATTGCATTTTTCATCAATTATTTATTACACAGCTAGATCAAGAAACTAAATGAATTCTATTTATTACTCAAATATTTTCAATATATCTATGCAATAAACAAAACACAGTCAATTGAAATTCATTAGCTAAAGTTCACTAATTTATTAATGGTAAACGGGGTTGAAAATAGATCGTATGTCCTAAAACGAATGGTTCCCTTAGTATCCTATCAATATTCACATTATTTCTCATCAGTTTGAAATGATTTTTTTAAAATAAGACCGATGATTTCAATCTCTGTAAGATGATTCATTTTTATTCGTATAAATAAAATTCACCCTTTTTCAAAACACATTAAACCGAATAGTTCAAGATATGTAAGGCTGTTAAAACAGAAATTTGCCGAACTTTCTTCACTGATAATCTCAACTTTTCGATGAGTATTTTTCTTTCGATGTTACTCTCTCTAGGTCAATATGCCCACGGAAAAAAATTATACAAAACCGCGGTTTGATCCGAGAAAACCGTGGTATTATTTTGATCCCATATAAAACTGCGGTTATCAGCGGTTTTCCAAACCGCGGTGTACTCGATAATAACCGCGATTCCGAAAACTGCGGTTGGTATGTGAGGAACCGCGGTGCATACCAAAGTGTCAAGGAATGTTTAAGGACATTCGAGATGTCGTGCCCCACAAATTCTGGCAAATTTGACTTATATCACACATATAATATAAGAACTCTACAAAGACACTTTGTGGAAATGAAGCTTGGGAGAGTTCACTACACTGCCCCTCGAAGGGCGCTACACCTGAAACTTTCAAGGTACAGGTTATGTTCGGTGCACCTGCTCCTATTGAGTCTATTTTATCGAAAAAAACCGCGGTTTGAAGCGGTTTTCGGATATAACGGTAGTCAGGCTATTTATGCATTTCAAAAAAAACACCCAAGACGGCGTTGTTCGAAACCACGGTTTTTATCTGTTTTCAAAACCGCGGGATTCAGACCATTTATGCCTTTGAAAAATACCGCCTGAAACCGCGGTTTACAACGGTTTTCAAAACCGCAAAAGTCAGACCATCTATGCGTATCTCTAAAACCGCTGAAAACCGTGGTTCTGGGCGGTGTTAGAGATACGCGTAGATGGTCTGACTTTCGCTATTCGAAAATACCGGCCGAAACCGCGGTTTTTTGAAAAAAGTTTCTCCGTGGGCGGTACGCTGATTCGCTAAAAATTAGAATAACAAAATTAATTTAAATCTGAGTTATTCAGTAATCATTGATGCTTATGTATGCATCATGACCAACTGTCACTTGGTCGAAAGATGATTAATATTGTCACTCGTTTCGACCAAAGCTCTAGTCGAATCATGTCGTCTCCGAAACGTTTTTTAATCATTTTGATTTCAAATTTCTCAGTTTCTTCGGTATGATTTGTCTTCCAGATTCATTGATTTTGGAACTTCTATATACCATCGACAGCAAGCTGTTTTTATCTGAACCTACTATTCCGATTCTGTACGTTTTGTTAAAGTTATTGAAAATCTAGTTTGGGAATAATTTTTGTTTCTATGTATTCACAACGATCGATGAGTCCTCAGTCTAATATTATCTTTTGGGGATAAATATGCAGATCAACCTTCAATAGCTGGTGTCAGTTTGACCAGCACATGTTATATTTCAGGTAGTTACTACATGTTGTGCTAACGATAGCATGTTTGCTACTAGTCGACGCCACAACGTTTTCAATAAATTCATTGGTTCGCACAGAGGCTGAAGCACCGAGTGATTCCAATAGCTGAATAAAGCCAGCTAGACGTATCACTTTGCATAATCTCTTGGCTATACTCAATTTCAAAAGCTGCTCAGATTTCAGTATTCATGTTATTATAAGCATAGAAAGATTTTGAATAAAAAGCGAATTTAATCTTATTGTAGAGAATTTCTAGAAAATTTGTTTAAAAAAACTTGGCCCCAAACAAATGAAGACAAGTGGAAATGTCAGTAAAATGTGAAGAGAACCATTCTCTCTACGGCACCCGATAGTCACAGAGAAATCTCAATAACTCGCCTTCATGGTACTCAATTATAAGTGGGTAATCTAGGAAGGATTGATTGAACTACAGAATCCAGTCATAGGAATCAACTTGTAATGCTTTAAAAAGAAAATACCTTTCGATGGTGATCCTACAGGTATTGTGTATTGTAAATAAAAAATATAGGCTAGAAATGTCGTCAGTATAATGTCGATAATCATGATCAGTGATTGTTGTTTGACTTGCCTTGCGTTTCTATAAAAATATGAATTTACTTCATTCTTAAAAATAAACTGAATGGTAGTTTTGTGTTGTAATGAATAGCAGTCTCTGCAGCAACGTGTATGGCAGCTCCGATGAAAAGCAGGAAAAAAAAGAATTCAAATATTTTTATAAAGGAAGAGAACAAGAGGGTGAGTAGAAGTGTCATATAGAGAAAAGCTGATGTTTTTTAGCAATCAAGGACTTTGTGGCAAAATTCAAGTAAAAGAATGAGTCTTGCAGAAGGAAGGGTAAAAGAAAATCTTTCTTCACCGAATGTATAAAAAGAACTAGAAGTTACGTGGGCGAATGTGGAAGCGAAAAAGAGTGTATGAATAATAATATCGGCTTTTCTCGTAGTGACACCCAAATCAGTCCACACTCAGCCAAAAACATGCATCCACATGAGGACTAAGCGTGCAAGTGTGACTGTGGGTTCGAATGAGCTTTAGGTAGATGTTAATGTTCAGGTAATCCTTATATCATCCACACCCATACCCCGATAAGATTATTAAATATATTGTCCATGATTGCAGAGTGAGACGTGGGTCAAGCATAGTCGCGTATTGATGGCACGTGTTGATCTCGACTTATTGAAGCTGATTGAAGAAGGAAGAACTAACGAAATTATTGACAATATTACTCATTCATCGAAGCATTATCAGAAAATAGTCGGCCAATTAATTCAGCAAAAGGTAACTGATTGTGTAGTAAGCTGAACTGGGTCAAAAATGACCCAGACTGGTAGTACTATGGTTAAATAAGAATAAACGCTAAATGTCTGAAACTCATTTCTTAATATTAAGCAGCCAATTTACTCACGAAATTTTTAGTTGTTTAAAACAAAAACAACGAGCTTAGGAACGAAACTTCGTATCTTTCTCATTATTCAATTTATTTAAATGGAGGATTAATGAAAAAAACAAGGATCAACCTAATTTTGGTCGAAAGGAAAAATGGCGAAAAAACACATGGTAGATGGCACCATTTTTCTTCGACATTTTTCTTTTCGATCAAAGTCAGGTGTATCCGATCGTGCTGTTGTTGCAGGTTTTCTTAACATGATCGTGAAATCGTGTTCGTATTGGAAATATATAGAGTATTGAGTGTCTGTGATTAGAAATGAAAATATATATATGAGAAACATGTCAAGTGAAAACTACCACTTTTACCTTGTTATACTGTAATGCAGTAGCGAAAAGTTTTGCTTCAAAATCTCCGATATTATTCATTTGAAGATTCAGTTTCTTGAGTGACTGTTAATAGAGAACAAGATGAATATGCGAGAAATAAAGAGCACACAAGGATGATCACCTTGTTATCTCGTATTGCAGTAGCCAAATATTGAGCTCCTACATGTGTAATTTGATTGTTGACAAGACTTAGATCAGTGAGTGTCTGTAGACAACAGTGATGATGGCAGATGTGAGAAACAGGTGAAGAAAAAATGACGACTTTTACCTGGTTATCTTGCAATGCAGCAGCGAGATATTGTACACCAACATCTCCAATTTCACCGTTTCCGATATGCAACGTGGTGAGTGTCTACAAATAGAGACAAAGATAGATGTGAACAATAAGTGAAGAAAAAATGATGATTTCCACCTTGTTGTCTCGTAACATAGCAGCGAAATGTTGAGCTCCATCAGCTCCAATTTGATTTCCGCCCATCACTAGCTCGTTGAGTGTCTACAAATTGAGATGAGAATCAACATGAAAGAGGTAAAGAGGAAATGAGGATGATCACCTTGTTATCTCGTAATGCAGTAGTGAGATGCTGAGCTCCAATTTGTGTGATTTTATTGTTAGCAATGTACAGCCTGGTGAGTGTCTGTAGATAGGGATGAAGATAGATGTGACACATTATTAAATAAATAAAAAATGCTGATGATTACTTCGTTATGTCGTAATGCATCAGCAAGATAATGAATTCCATCATCACCAATGTTATTGTAGTGAATATTCAAATAAGTAAGAGTCTGTGCATAGAGCTGAAGATCGATGGAAAAACAGTGAACGTAATTACCTTGTTATGTCGTAATGCATCACCGAGATATCGAGCACCTATATGTCCAATACGATTTTGCTGAAGATCCAGTTCGGTGAGTGTCTGTTTATAGAGAGGATGATGAACATACGCAAGAAAAAGAGAAAATAAGAATGATCACTTTGCTATTTCGTAAAATAATAGCGACAAATTGTGCTGCAGCATCTGGAAGTTTTCGCATTGTAATGCTCAGTCTAGAGTGGGTCTTTAAATAGAAATGGAAATAAACTTTTACGAAATGAATGGGAGATACTAGAAGATAAGAACGTAGGAAAGAAGTTTATGTACGCTTCTATAAAATCTATGCGATTAGAAAAGTTTTTTCCTTTCTATGGTTTCTTAAAGTAACAGAATAAAATCAATAATTTACATTTGTCTATAGATAAAGCTTACTTCATTCCGATGATAACTATTCACAATTGCATCTAGTCTTGTACAAACACTGAGCATTGTGCACACGATGTCATATAAGCTGAGATTGTCAAGGATCCGATAGATGAACTCCACAGGCAGTGTATGAAGAGAATGTATACTGGTGTTCACCATCGTGTCAAATTGTTGATTTCTATGTTTTTCTGAAAAACGAAAACTATACATCGTCTTTTAGTCTTGATTTCGTGAAATCTGATAACATAGTTTCCATTACATAGCCATCTACAGATCTTACTAGTTTCATATCCTTTAATTGCATACACATACCTTTTCAATTGTTCAATTAATTTTTCAACAAAAGATATCGAATCAATAATTATTTTGTACGAAGTAAATGCTTATTCGATGCATATGAAACGATCTGACAGAAAAAAACCTCACCCTCAACACCCTCAAGATTTACTTCATTCAAAAATAAAAATAAAGTTTATTATTAAAATACTGCGATTAATATTACTGAATCGGATAAAATGTAGCGAAACTTTTTGGTAGATATTATTCTAGATTATTACGTAAAAAAATATAGTATCTGTAAATGCTCAGCTGTCAAAATCGAAAGTGTCTTAGGATCAAATCCATCAGTAAAATTCGAGAAACCGGTCCAACCCCATTCAGTCGGTCCCCTGCGCACGCTACTGGATAAAATATCTTGCTACTCTCACTTTTCCACCGTCACACTCAATTTTTACTGTATAGTTACGCTAGATGCTCTATCCTGTTTATTCCACAATACTAAAAACAAATAGTATGGGGTACATCCACCATAAACATACCACATTTACATCGATGGAAGGCGCCAGCGATGCGACCTTCTAGGCTTGTAGAGGGCTTCCTATTCCTAAGAACAATAATGGTGCAAACCGCACCTCTCTAGCTGATGCAGAATCCGCGATATGCCTGATTGACTGTCTCGTTGACTGTGCCATCCTCTGTGTTGTTTTACCAGCAAAAATAGGATTTTTGCGTGACTAACAACTCGGCTATTCTCGCTCCAATTTCGGTCTCCGCGGTCTTAAATTGAAGTTTATGTTTAGACGTACAACTCATGAAAAATTC